CCTCTTTCTCTCCCCCCTCTGCTCCTCTCCTCCTCTGTCTCCCCCCTCTCCTCTCTCTCCCCCCCCTTCTCCTCCTCTGTCTCCCCCCTCTCCTCCTCTGTCTCTCCCCCCTCTTCTTTCTCTATCCCGCCTCTCTTCCTATCTCTCTCCCCCTCTTTCTCCCCCTATAGTCTGTCCTACCTCGCAGCCTGCCCTGCAATCTGGAACATTCTGGTTTAGAAATACTGCAACACTTCTTTTGTTATACTAAGCCCTTTTTTGTTCCCCCTCTACCTTATTTATTTTCTTGTTCTCCCCAAATAACAGCAGTGGTGGGATGAGCGAGCGACAGAAGGAGAAGAAGTGTTTGTGAGGGAGAGAGAGAGGGAGGGGATACAGTATATAGAGAGAAGGAGCCTCAGCAGTGTCAGAGTGAGAAGAGAGAAGAGAGGATGGCACAGAAAGTTTATAAGGCATAGTTTAGGAGGAAACGCGTGAGAGAAGCTGGGGAATCTGCGGTGGCCAGCTGCAAGAGGGGAGATAGCGCAGAAAGGCTTTTAATTCTCAATCCCCACAGAGCCTTTGAAAATTACCAATCTTCTTATCACAGACGCAGGGCTGCTTATGCAAATTGTTGTGGAGTGGAACGTTTAAACGGAAAATTACTCGACAGCATTTTTTTTTCTCCCCCTCTCCCTCTCTCCTCTCTCTTCCACACAGAAAGCCTGTTTTGAGTCTCAGATAAGAAGATGAATTGCTCTCTCTGTGCTTTGAAGCGCGTCAGGATTTAAAGACTCCAGCCTCGGCTCTGGTCTAACGTCGCTGCTCCCGCTGCCTTTGTAGCAGAAAACAGGCTGGAAAAAACCGGGGGGAAAGCATTTCAAAACAACATATTATTCTGTGCTCCAACACAGCGTCACCGCCCGAGGAGACAAGGAAATATAAATATTCCCTAACCCCTACTCTTTGCTATTTACTTTAATATGTTTGCTTAACAGTCAACACTTTTTCCCTTTTTTTTCATTCATGGCAAGTAGTTGACATGAAAGAATAAAGCTCATGTGTGGAAGAAATGTTTGAAGCATTTGATGTCTTAGTTTTACCACAAGCAGTGTTGGAAATGAAACAGAAAAACATACAAGAGCTATAAGCACTGATAATAACGTATTGAAATATAAGTGACTTCTATGGTTTTTAATGTTTGTGAGTTTCATGTTCTGGGATCAGTAGTTTTTTGCTTTGTTTCTTTTCTGTTACTGAACATTTGTTTAAGTGAGATCCAAACAAAGTTAAATAAAAAAGAAATTATAAAACAATCAATAATAGTCTTTCAAATTAAGAATGAGTCTATAACATCAAGCATCCATTGCATTTAAAAAATAAATACAATTCAGTACAATGTACAACTAGTAAAGTAAAATCCTGAGGGGAACATGTTCTCAGCTTTACTGCACTAAATACAAAATGTTGTCAATAAAAACCAAAACAATACAAAACGCAATTTAAATAATTTACTGCTTATAACATTTATAGAACAATTGAAGTACAATGTTCAAAGTACATTTGAATTCATGTGTCCCTTTTGGACACCTTTATGGTCCAACAGTAAATAGTCCCCCTGATAAAACTTCTAATAATGTTTAACACATGCACAATATCCTGATAAACCTAATTACATGCCACTATATATGAATACAAAAGCCGAAAACATGTGTCAATGTGCACTTCCTGGTTCCCTGGTGTAGAAGTCAGCGTGTTTTTGAATGAGTTTTGGGTTAACACAAGCCGAAGAGATTGTCAAATGTGTCAGTAAATAGCTCACTGGTGACCGTCTGAAGCTCTTACGTCAGGGGTGGGGAAACTTTTTCCTCTCAAGGGCCATTTCAATGTTTACAACATCCTCCGAGGGCCGTACAAATGATTGAACTCAACCTCTGCTTAAAAAAACAAAAATCACAGCCCATTAATTTCGCCTTTCTTTCATGCTGTGCAAAGAAAAATCAACCTCTTAATCCAGATATCTCACCATGACTCGCGCATGCATGCATGTGCACGGTTGTGGCATGACCACCAAAACAGAAAGATATGGACACAAGATGTGTGCAAATGTAGTATCCTATCCCTGTGGACATGATTTAAGTGGGGGATGGACCTAAGCTCCTCTAGGGGGGTCCGGGGGCATGAACCCCCGGGAAGATTTTTTTTTTAAATGTTGAAGTTAAAAGCATCAATCTGGTGCACTTTGAGAGCAACATTAGGAGCTCTATGGATACATCTCTCAACATCCATATGAAACAGAACTGTAAGCAGATTTATTTTTCTTTATGGATATTTTACAAATCACTCCCCTTTCAAACTGTATTCTTGTTTATTAATAACAACTTTTTTTTACTGTCATATAGTATTTTATACCTGTTTACTTTATTCTCTTGTGTTTTTATAACTATAATGATCATATAAAGATGTGCCTTTACCTCACTAGTTGTAGAAAAAGCTTCTTATATTCGTTAGCATAGCTAGCTAACCAGATGCTAATAACAACAAAGTTATTGAGTGTATGATCAGTATGACAGATGAACAGATCACCACTGGGCTTTCAACTAAAGACACAGCCACGCAAAAACTGCGGCATGTGTACGGCTCCTTATGGGTACTGCAATGTTTGTGCCTGAGCGGCGTTCCTGTGCTCTCCGGCAGAACTACACCCCTGTCAGACGAGACATATACCACGTGATGACACGTTAGGCTCGTGTTGTGTTCAAGGACCCTGACCTTGGCCAGGAAAAACAGGCACTCGCTTGTTTAATTCTTTTGCGGTCTAGATTTCTTTGCGTGTGTTTATAAATTACCTCGAGGGCCGTATCAAATGGTCTCACGGACCGTATACGGCCCGGAGGCCGGAGGTTCCCCACCCCTGTCTTACGTGTATTATAAACAGCATTTCCGAACAAATGGTTAATTACCTACCAAACATCGTTAGGCAGAACTTTAGCCGCCTTTAGCTTAGCGGTACTGATGTCATGCAACCTTCAAAGCATACGTTAGCTTCTGGTGATTGCATTTGTGACCTGCTCCATCGAAATCAGTCGCATTGACCCGAAGACACATTTTGAGTTGTATACACGGTTGGAAAGAGGAGATTCCTAGCTTTCTAATTATATCACTATTGTTTTTGTACTCCAAATATTAAGCAAAATATGTCACATTATATAATGACTGTCACCGAGTCATCATTTTGAGAAAAAGGCCTTCAAAGTTTCCTCTTCTCTGGAATCCATCGATCTGATTGATTATTAGCGGATCAAATGATCAAAATACTACGGAGGGAAGATATTTTCGTTTGGATTACTGCTCTGGGGGAAGCAGATGAAAACAAACTGTAACGGACCCTGCCGTGTTATCTATGATTACTATAAGCCTTACATTCATAATTTCAGCCGGAGGGAGGGGGAGCTGCGCTGCGGAAGAGCAGAGTGGCGAGTGAGAGCTGTCATCTTTCCTTTACAAGCTTCAAAAATGTATTTATCGTGTGATTTTGGAAATAAAAGTTTTATATTCTGAAAGCCAAGACTTTGTTTATTTAAAATCAAAACAAAACACCCGAACCCCGAAAAACTATTTTTTTACGCAAATCCACGTTTATTTTGAAATGAGCCATTGCGACTTCCGACTGATTTCGATAGAGCGGGTCACATTTACTATTATGGAAATGGTGTTAGTTTGTGAAGATTATCCTGCTAAACAAAACGTGTAAATATCTAAGCGTTTGTTTTCCTAAGAACTCATTTTCTGCAATATTCCCATCACATTTTGTCCAGGCAGCCCTTGCAACACTATCTTCGGCCTACAGAATGACATCAGTCATCGGAGGATTATGTAATTAACAGTTCTCAGTTATATTAGCTAAAAGCACTTAAGCCTGAAACCCATCCTGAGCATTATCTCACAATTGTGTGTAGTTTTAAAAGTCCACTGGCTCTTTGAATAGTTGGCTCATGAGCGTTTTTACCCACTCGGAGAGGATGGAAGGCTTCGATGAGGTGTCAAAGCTGCAAATGTCACAATTTAGTTGCAGCAATTCTTTATCTTGTTTTTCAATTTTTACTTTTGAAGTTTAAGCAATGATAGGAACATAAACAAGCATAATACATAAGTGATGCCCTAACATGGGCTGAACAGAAACATTCAGGTGAGTAAAATCATTATTTGTGGGTGATTTACATCTGCCATCTTTTGCTTCCCCCCTCCTCTCAGAGTAAAGGTGCATCACAGAGATAGGAATAATGTGCAGCAGAGCATCAGGGATGACCCCCCCCCCCCCCCCCCGGACACTCATCCACTGCAGTCCTGCATTTGATCTGTGTTTGTCAGCGTGACCTTGAATCTGCTAGTTCCTCCTAATTGGGTCCGGTTGAAATGGAACATTTTAGTTCTTCAGTGTTCAATTTCAAGAAGAGTCATCTTTGTCATATTTTGTTGATGCACATTGTTAGTGAATATAAACTGCTGCTTGGTTGCATTGATTAGTTAACAACAACCGAAAGTGCAGTTTGGGTGTAGTGCTTGGTGGTTATTAAACTGGTACTTGACATTTGCAAGGCATCTAATGCAGACTGGAGGCTTAGGAGCTGAATATTTTTAGCTCTCATGAACTGACAAATCACTGCCGTCCTTGTTAAACTGCACTGAAAACCTGAAACGTAGACTTTAATTAAATGTATTATTTAAACAGATTTCACATAACTGTATTAGGTTAGTTGAAATAAATGATATAAAACATTAACTTAATATTATTGCTTTTAACTAACTGAATACAGTTATGTGAAATGTGATGACATAATTAATTTAATTGTAAAAGTTTCAGTTTTTTCAGTGTACCATCAGAGAGTGTATGAGTATTTAACAGGAACCCTGCAAAAATTGAAAGCACAATCATTGTTTTCTTTTGGATGACCTGGCAGCGGTGTGCAGTGACCAATAGGGGAGGGTCTCATGTTTAAACCCCGCCTCTCTCCCCACAGAGGCAGCTGAGGAAGAGGAAGTGCTACCTCCTGGTGGCCGGAGCCATCGCCCTCACCATCCTCATCATCATCATAGCTGTTTCAGTAAGGAAATGAGAGCGGCCACTGTGGTAAGAACTCCTACAATGCAACACTACAACCTTTCCCATATTTATATTGCAGGTTGGACAAATATAGTACAGTGCTAATGTGGGCCTTTTTATAACGTTGGTATATCAGCCAAGTGATGTGAGGACACTTTGGCTCCTCATTTACTGTAAATTAGATTATACTTGTGAGTATCACTGAGACAATAGTGAAAAATGTCCTAGAGCTCAATGTGATGTCTGTGAAACTGATGATATTTAGCATTTTGATTTATAATTAACATTATAATAAGCTGTTTCTTTTGTTGTGATTGTTAATGATTTGATGCAGTTGATGCCAAGAAATACATTATGGATATGAGTTTGATATTTATGACATGATTACTGTATTTGAAACATATTTTAAGATTAGAATGGTTTGCAGTTGCTTTTTTCTAATTTAAATTATTTTAGGTGCTTGTTGAAAGCTAAACTTCAGAAGATTTGCTTAAGGGTTAGAATCTGTTAGTGGATTAGACCAATGCAAAACAGATATACTGTAAAATAACTGAAAACACTTTATTTTATGAACTAGTGCATGTCACTTTCAAAATATGAAACACGTTAAAAGTCAATAAGATCCCAAAAAAAAAATTCTCCTCACCAAATTACTGTTTACTGCACTATTTGGTGTATCTGTTCTTTTGGCACTTCCACCTTGGGCTTGATTGAAAATGTTTTGCATTAGTTGTTTAAGAATATAGAGGTGTGTACAAAATGTGTGAACACACTCATGTATTTATATATTTGAAAGTACATTACTTGTTAGCAAACCTTTTAAGCGTTTTTTATGACAGATATATGTATTCAAACTTTAGTTTTGATTCAAAACTCTACTCTAAAATAACCTCCCATGGCCATAGTGAGGGTCCTCCTGAACATTATTTCATTTAAAAATGTAGCTAACCCTCGGAAATAAAATATTGCTTTATATAATTCAAGAGAGTTTCCAAATGAAGGAAATGTCACTGTGTTGCAGTATGGTTTGTGCTATGTTCTTTTGTACACTTAAGATCAGGGGGAGTATTGGGAGCAACATTTGCTTGATTAACCGGTACTTCAGCTATATTCTTTAGCTATATTTAATTTAGTCATTTGGGTGGCTAACTGGAAAGTTTTAATTTATAGTGATATTACAGATCGTACAGCAATGTTTCCAATAATCATTAATTGCCTCTTATTTACGTATATTATACGATGCAGGTGGTGAAAACTAAAGCTGCGGTTTGAAATGTGTTTTGCTTCTCAGCCAAAGACACATGTTTTATTTCTCGCTCTGAATAAGACCCAGTCAGAGGCTGTCAGAGGACACTATAGGACTAACTTTCATCCCATTAATAATCGCAGGAGGAGCTATTTTGACTTTTTGTTTTCTCTTTCTTGACACTCAATACAAGAGGTTTCTTTTTGAAAGGTATTGATTGTCATCTATTTTCCTCTGTGGGGAGGTAAATGGAAATCCTGTGGAACAAGGCATTCTATTCGTAAACCAGCAGGCTGAATCGATGCTCCCATGGCGAGGGGCCATGTTGAGGCTCAGTGTTTGAAGCTCCACTCTCAAGTGGCTAGACAGCAGCAGACAGCAGCAGTTAACACAGCAGACAGTCTCAGGCCAGAGAGGAGAAACATTGTGAAGTCTACTGTTGACACATGCTCACAGAACGCTCTATTGATCTTCACCTGCGCTGTCACAAAGCAGAGCCACAGCCCATGTGCTTTTTTTGATTTAGTGAATTCATAGCTCACCATAAATACATTGGTTTTAAATGAGCACTAACTTAATAATAATAATACATGCTGTATAGCGCTTTTTCTAATGGGGGGGGGGGGGGGATAAGTGAGTTTTGAGATAGTTTTGAAGGATTCAAGAGTGTTCGGCCTTTCGGATGTGACTGGGGAAAGAGTTCCAGAGGGGGTGGGGGGGGGGATTAATACTTAGAATAAATAACATAGCAGAGTAACAACACGTTTCATGTAAAATACAAAAAATAACATATAGTTAGAAAATAAAACCGATGCATATTTATAGCACATAGGAAGGATTTCCAATCAGTCTGCAAAAGAGCCCATGCTTGATTTTCATAAATCTCAATGAGGTTCCTGTTTATGGAAACAACAGGTGTAAAACAAAAACGCGCTGTCGGATATAAAGGTATTGTGTACTGTACTGTGTACATTTGTATCTTGTTTACAATGTACTGTAGTACCAAGTTTTATTAAATATGCCAACGTTTGTGAGGTAGGATGACTTACCACCCTGTGTGTGTGTGTGTGTGTGTGTGTGTGTGTGTGTGTGTGTGTGTGTGTGTGTGTGTGTGTGTGTGTGTGAATCTTCCAGGCATTGTGTATGCTTTCAAATATTTATGTTGCTAAGTCACTTCATGTAGGCATTTTCTACTCTTCCCTGCCCCTTTGTATCATTTATTGTGTCTCTTTAAATGTGCATAGATTAATTGTTTCCTCCACCAAGGAGTTTTCGGCTAGGTTTGTTTATGTATTTGTCAGTCTGTGTCAGCAGGATAACAGCAAATTATAAGACCAATTTTCATGAAACCAACTGGAAGAGAATAGCTTGGGCCAAGGGAGAACCCATTACATTTTGGAGCCAAACAGAATTACAGGGCAGATAACAAACTATTTTTCCCTTTTGTTAACATTGCAAGATAGAGACATAGAGTGTCCATAAGAGTGAGTAGTTTTCACTTTGCTGCAGGTGGGAGGTCTTTGGATTTAGCTATTCAAATCAAGAAACACTGAATGAAGTGATAAAGTTGAAAAAAATATTATTGCTGCTGTCACAGTCCTGCAGTGTCTCAAGTTGCGTTTTGTTCTTACTGTACATGTGCTGTTTGGAGAACATCCGTCCCAATGCTAAGTATGGCAAACCGCACCATAAGTCCAGAGAAGGTGCACTCATAACAGTGTTTAATAAACTAAGGATGCTAAAAAGTTACTTTTAAATTAGTTAAACTAAGATGGTGATGCCATGGTTGATTTTTAATATGAATACAGACTTACAGAGCTGCTAGCATGGCTGCAGACTCACAGTCACTTCACGTGTTGACAGTGATGGCTCAACAATAGAGGTAATTACACTGTAGTACATGTTTACACACAAGAGATAACTGGTCACATTATTTTTCACCAATAATTCAAACAATTGAATTAAAATGTCTGATAATTGCAACACGTGTGTTCCAGAATAGACATGCAGACAGAGTGCATACATAAGTGTGTGAAATAGCTATGAAAAAAATGAGAAGAGAGAGATAAGTAAGAGAGGCAGAAAGGAGAATAGCAAGTGTCATACATCTTTTTAATGAGCATGACGATGACAGAAATAACTGCTGAGCTGCTTCTGCTCTCAAATCAATAGGCTGGCTCTTTATGGCACTCTAAATAATGCACTAACTGCTTCCTGACACTTATTCCTTCCCTTATACAAATGATGTGACAGCACTGCCCTCACATCTAGTTTACAAAGTCATTTGGAGTGAGAGGGCTTTATATGCCAGCACCATGTGCTTAAATTACACTCAGTCACAGCACAGAAAAAAAGGACATTTCTACTGTTAGGGTTAATATAATTATAATATTTTATGATTTAAATAGTGCTACTTTCATTCACCATTTGATAGTTACAAGGTAGAAATGTAATTCACCCTGAGCAATCCCAGATATTGAAGCCATGACCAAGGGAGAGGGGAGGTATTAAAATAACTGGTCTGAAAGATTATTCAGTCTATCAAAATATAATTTTACTGAGAAGACATTTCAGTAGATTTCTGGTTAATTTGAACTCTGACTTAGAATATGAGGAGAATCTTTAAATCTTTTAAACTATGCAACTTTTTACTTAGAACTGCAACTGCTCTGTTGCTTTCAAATGAGATTCTGTTGAAGCGTATACCAAGACCCTAACAAGCTCCATGTCTTGAGTTTCATTTTGAAGTTTACTCAATCCGTGTCATTTCTTTCTTTACTTCACAGTCTTGTTTGTTTTCCCACCTGTTTAATTTTCTCATTACGTTATGTAAATTGATCAAATCAAGTCAACATTCTACAATGTTTACTTGTTTTCAACATATCTGAATTGTGATTTGCACAGTAGTAGATGTGTGGGCCTAACAAGTAATTAAAATAGCATAAAGCTGTATTTATTGGAAACATTTTCATACAATTATACTAGTTGGTGCGAGCAATCATTTGAAGTCACTTAAAAAAAACGTGTTAAATTCCAACCTTGGTAATAATGAATATAGTTTTCACTGTTTTCCACATTTATAAAGCCTGCATAAAAAAAAAAAACATAAGAGCACACAAGGTGAAGTCTACAGATGTGCTGAAAGTATTCCCCCCACCACAGCACATCAATCACATCCTCTGGCGCTCTTTAATCACATCACCCAGTGTTAGTGCAGTCAGAATATCTTGGTGTCTTTTCCAAGTCCTGATGAATTCTCCTTCACGCCTTTCCTTAACCCCATGCCGTTTTTTCAGTCTTTTATTCAGTAAAACTTTAGACCCTTTGTGTGGGTTCCAACAGAAGATAGAGATATCAAATGGAGTTACAGTTATGGTACTCTCCACTGACTGAATATTTGACTATATTGACATGTATCATCTCAAAGGCACTGATACTGTGAGAGTCGTACTGCACATCACTTCGTACTGCACATCACTTCCTTCCATCCAGCACCAATATGATTTCAATATATTGATTTTTCCAAAACTTTGTAATGATATATCTATCAGTCTCAAAGCTAGACAAAGAAACAGAGGAACAATCAACCTGTTTTACTATGACATGGGAAGTTTGCCTTGTACGGCAGAGCTAAAGCTGAAGAACATTAATGAGCATTTTCTAGAACCAATACATGGAAATATTTAAGCAACATGCAATAGACAGCAGATTTATTTGATGCTTTCTCTTAATTTGGAGTAATACAAAATACAAATAAAATGAGATTAGTGTCTCGGCTGGA